TTAATTTCATAAAACTTTACATAAATGGTCCAAGGACACCAAATAGAAAATATATTCCAACATTCTCCCACTTGTCCTTGAGATCATTTATATAAGTTTAACTAGTGATTTGGCCAAATAATTTCATCTTACTCCATAATGATATCAAAGCAAAGAGATACAGTCATATGAGTTGCTTTTGACCCGAGACCCCTATCAATTATACTTTGATACTTCTTAAAGAGCATAAGGATTTAATAAGCCAAAATAACACTTAGCATAAAGTTTCATGTTTGTCTATAAGATAAGTTAGTGTGCACAAATAAGATTAGACAAACAAACTTAGGGAGGAACAATAAGTCAAGTACTTGAATTTACAAAATAGTAATAATAAGTAAGTAAAGCACTATGATAGAAATAAGTTAAACCGAGTCTTGAATTAAGCCCATGTTTGTGACATGTCGTTGAAAAACATTGGGCGGAAGACCTTTGGTGAGATGATCAGCTAGCATATCATTGGTGCTAATGTGTTCGATACAAATTTCATTTTCCTCCACTCTTTCTCGAACGAACAAATATTTTGTATCGAGATACAATCCCGCTCCACTCGAACTATTGTTATTTGAGAAACTAACAGCTGCGGAATTGTCACAATAAATCTTTAGCGGCCTTGAGATGGAATTTACGATCTTCAGCCCTTTGATAAGATTCCTCAACAACATCCCATGACACGCTGCGTTGTACACCGCAACATATTCAGCCATCATYGTTGAGGTAGTCGTTAGTCTTTGTTTATGGCTCTTCCAAGAGATTGGCCCACCTGATAGCATAAAAATGTATCCCGAAGTTGATTTCTTATCGTCTTTGCACTTGGCAAAATCGGAATCGGAATAACCAACTACCTCCAAATTATTAGACCTCTTATAAGTAAGTTTGTACTCCTTAGTYCCTTGAAGGTATCGTAAAACTTTCTTAGCGGCTTTCCAATGATCTARGCCGGGATTAGATTGATACCTACCTAGCATACCAGATATATATGCRATGTCGGGACGAGTGCAAACTTGAGCATACATTAGGCTTCCAACTACAGAAGCATAAGGAATAATTCTCATTTGTTCCTTTTCAACCTCAGTTTTCGGRCATTGAAAAGAACCGAAAACGTCTCCCTTAACGACTGGAGCAACTGAAGGRGARCARTGTTGCATGTTAAATCGATTTAGAATGCGCTCAATGTATGCCTTCTGGGACAATCCTAATGTCCCTTTGACTCGRTCTCGGTGAATTTCAATGCCTATAACATAAGAGGCTTCACCTAGATCTTTCATGTCAAAGTGGCGGAAAAGTAAGCGTTTCGATTCATGCAATAAGTCTAAGTTACTACTTGCTAATAGGATGTCATCGACATACAAAACAAGTATAATAAATCTGCTCCTACTCACTTTGAGGACATTGGTCTACTTGATTCTTGTTGAAGCCATTCGACTTCATGACTTCATCAAATTTAAGGTACCATTGCCGAGAGGCTTGTTTGAGCCCATATATAGACTTCTTGAGTTTATACACTAAATGCTCTTGGCCCTTAGAACCATAACCTTCTGGTTGAGTCATATAAACATCTTCATGTAAATCTCCATTTAGGAAGGCTGTTTTGACGTCCATTTGATGTAGCCCAAGATCAAAGTGAGCTACTAAGGCCATAACGATCAGAAGGGAATCCTTTCGAGAAACTGGCGAAAAAGTTTCTTGATAGTCTATACCCTCCTTTTGAGCATACCCCTTAGCGACCAGTCTCGCTTTGTATCTTTCAATGTTTCCCTTCGGGTCTAATTTAGTTTTATAGACCCACTTGCAACCAATAGGCTTGTGCCCCTTTGGTAATTCTGCAAGTTCCCAAACATTGTTCTTCCTCATGGAATCAAGCTCTTCATTCATAGCTTCATTCCAATGAGCCGACTGATCACWACTTATGGCATCTTGGAAAGATATAGGATCRTTAYTTTTCCCTAAGTCAAGATCCGCCTCTTCGTTCAAATAGGTTATATAATCGTCAAAATTAGTCGGGCGCCTAGACCTTTGAGATCTTCTTATAGGTTGTTGAATTTCTTGAGGCTCATTACTTACTTGTTGGAGTGGTTCATTACTAGATGGTGTTTCATTCGTCTCTTGAACTATTGTATCATTATTATGAGACGGTGGAATTTCATTAGGATTTTCAAGTAAGGGATTAGGTGGAACTGGCAAAGGAATTACTGATGCCTGTTCACAACCTTCTTGAAGATCATTGCCACTAAAAAGACCACTACTACTCCCACTTAAGTTTGTATTCTCAAGAAATTCAGCATGTCTAGTCTCGACAATTCGGGTAGTGTGAGATGGGCAATAAAACCGGTATCCCTTTGATCTTTCAGGATATCCGATAAAGAAACAACTGACGGTTCTCATATCAAGCTTCTTAAGCTGAGGATTATAGACTTTTGCCTCAGCAGGACAGCCCCACACCTTTAAATATCGTAAGCTGGGCTTCCTTCCTGTCCAAAGTTCAAAAGGAGTTTTTGGCACAGATTTAGAAGGTACCCTATTCAAGATGTGGGTTGCAGTTTTAAGGGCCTCGGTCCACAAGAATTGRGGAAGRTTTGAGTTGGACAACATACTTCGAACCATATCCATAAGAGTCCTATTTCGCCTTTCGGCAACACCRTTTTGTTGAGGGGTGCCAGGCATGGTATATTGGTTTATAATCCCGTGATCTYTACAAAACTCATGAAAAGATCCRGGTGCTTGACCAACATCCGTGTGTCGACCATAATACTCACCACCCCTATCCGATCTCACTACCTTTATTTTACGGTCAAGTTGATTTTCAACTTCGGCCTTGAATGCTTTAAACATCTCTAGTGAGTCGGATTTTTCTTTTATTAAGTATAAGTACATATAGCGCGAGTAATCATCAATAAAAGTAATGAATGATTTATGACCGCTAATGAAATCGGGAAAAGGCCCACAAATATCGGTATGAATGAGCTCTAACAAGCCGCAACTTCTTGTGGCGCCTTTCTTACTTCCCTTGGCTAATTTCCCTTTTATACATCTCACGCACTTGTCAAAATCTGAGAAATCAAGATTAGGAAGAATACCGTCTTTCATGAGTCTAAGCATTCGGTCTCGTGAAATATGGCCTAAACGTTGGTGCCATAGCTTAGAAGACGTTTCCATTTCTCTCTTTCTCTTATTTGGATTCTCAGTGACGCTTAATGATAACGAAGATTCCATAAAATGGTTATCCAAACATAATCTATAAAGGTTTCCTTCTTCACAACCAAACCCAACTGCGTTGGAATTAAAGCAAATAGTAACTTTATTATGTACAAATGTAAACGAAAAGCCATCGGCATTTAGTTTTGATACAGATATTAAGTTACGAGTAATATTAGGTACATAAAGAGCTTCATGAAGAATGAGTGAAAAACCACTCTCTAATACTAAGGTGAGAGTTCCTATGGCCTTCACTTCTAAGTCTTCTCCATTGCCCACTTTAATTACCCTTTGCTTTCTTCCCAGCATTCGGATTGAACGGAATCCCTGTAATGTATTGGAAACATGAACCATTGAACCGAAATCAATCCACCAAGTATTAAGTGGAACAGTTGTGCTAAGAGATTCATAAATCATATTGACATAAACATTACCTTTCTTGGTCAGCCACTCCTTGAACTTAGAACAATCCCTTTGATAATGCCCTTTCTTTCGGCAAAATTTATAGTAGGGAGTGCTTGAGGAAGGGTCTGAACTCGTACTTGCATTTGTCTTAGGGACCTTAAAAGAATTACCTTTCCTTTTCTTGGAGCTTGAAGTGGTGACGTGAGCAACATCAGGCCTCTCAATCTTAAGTCGTTCTTCTTCCTGGACACACATAGCTATTAGCTCGCTCATTGTCCACTTCTCTTTCTGYGTGTTATARTTTATTTTGAAAGGACCATATTGCGCAGGTAGAGAAGTCATGATGAAATGAACGAGAAATCCTTCGCTTATCTCCATATCCAGCCCTTTGAGCTTAATGGCCATATCAGACATCTTCATAATGTGCTCGCGAACACCACTTGTCCCGTCATATTTAGTTGTCAATATCTTGAGTATAAGGGTACTTGCATGCGCCTTCGAAGTAACTTTAAACCGCTCTTCGACATAGCTCAGATAGGTCTTTGCATTATCCGAATCAGGGATAGCACCACGAATAGCTATGGAGATGGAACTCTTGATCATCATAAGGGACATTCGGTTAGACCTCGTCCACTGCTCAAAAAACAGTTTCTGCTCCACGGTGCTTTGATCAGTAAGAGCAGCCGGTGGATCGGTTCTAAGTGCACAATCAAGGTCCATCATGCCTAAGGTCAGTTTAATTGACTCTTTCCATGTTGAGAAATTAGTGCCCGTTAATGGTTCTATCCCATAATTGTAAGGGGAAGGAGTAGACACTGAAAAGTGATCATTATTAGAGGTATATTTGAAAGCTAATTAGTATTTRCGGGAAARCAATAAGGCATATCAATTATTAGTAACTTAGCCTATTATCAACACCAAAATAATAGGCAATACTTTGTCTTGTTTGATCACTGGTTTTGCGTTGGCTATAACCAAAATCAAACATTATGACATAATTAATGTTCAAAACTACGCTACACAAAACATCATATAACACCTTTGGGCAAAATGCAACGTCCATGCGAATAAGGCTAATAATACATTACATATTATCAACAATTAACCGTTGGGTTCGTTGCGTGATAATACATACAATTTCATATAATTAATGGCATAACTAAACCTTTATATTAATTTAGATAACCATTCGTTAGGCCGGTTATCAAAATCAATATAGAAGTTGCCATCCAACAAACTAAGCAAATAGCTTGACGAAATCAAAATCAAGCATACATGGAAAATTAAATGTGGGATTTTGGACAGAAAACTACCCCATTGAAGAACAAATTCGAACAAATTCATATTACATATAGGGGCTGTGATTCAAAACTTGGACAAAATCACAGAGGCAATGACAATTCATAAGAGGCTGCATTCCAACCATATATAAATAAATAAAAAATGTATTTTGATTGTGCAYATGAGATTCGATAACCCACTGCTCCATTATACATTATCTATTCACAGAATTTTGGTGATGGTTTCGAAAACKATTAAAGCATGAGTGAAGAAGAAAATCGATTTTAACATGTATTCAAGAATTGTTAATTAGAATCAATTTTAATATTCCTTAGTCAACAGGACAGAAATTTAGGGTTCGTTCTCACAGAAATTAGGGTTCAAAGAAAACAAAATTGGATGAAACATGAGAAATTAGGGTTCGCTCTGATACCACATGTTGAGAAACATTAATCATAAGGATCGAATTTCATCCATTCAATAACAATTTCACACAAGATTTAAAAGAACAC